TTAGCTGGAGCTCGCGGCGGACAGCGGGCCAGAGCGGGGCGGCAGTGGGCCCTGCAGCCTCGAGGGGGCCCCCAGGATGCACGGCAACTCCCTCCGCGGCAGCAGCGCCTAGGCGACGTGGCCGGCGAGCGCGCGGCGCGGATGGCCGCGCGCAGTCGCCAGATGTCGCGGGCCCCGAGGCTGAGCCGGCGCCCCTCGCGCAGCGGCAGCCCTAAGAAGTCGCGGCCCTGGGAGGGCGCCTCGAGCTCGTGCGCGGCCAGCCCGCGGCGCGTCAGGTCGCTGGTGGCGGCCCGCAGCCGCTCGGTCACCGCCCTTGGGGAGCTGCCGTAAAGTTGCCCACGTGGCCGGCGCCTGCGACCGATCGGGGATCTTCTGACCCGGGTCAATACAGACCCGGGTCAGCGGGAAACCAAAAACTGCAATGCAGGAAAAAAACTGCAACGCAGGTCTTCGCAAACCCGGGTCAGCCAATACGCGCGGCCGCCTCGCGGCCACGAGCGGCTCGCTAACCCGGGTCAGCCAGAGGGGGTCTTTGCAGGATCCTGCAGGATCTGGCGCTCTGGCTGACCCCCGTTTGCGCTGACCCCCGTCTCGAGGCCCCCGAACCGAGTCTTTGTCTTGCGAGCCGGCAGCCGCAGCGCCCGTCGAGGGATCGGGTCACTCGGAAGGAACCCTGCGCGACGCAGGCCGAGGCAGCAGGAGCGACTCGCCCTCCGCGCCGTCCACCGCGATCCCGCGCGGCGCGAGTACCTGGCGGGGGTCGGCGGCAGCGCGAAGGATTCCCCCATCCCGTCTGGGACCCGCGCGCGGTAGAACGCCACGTCGAGGTCCGCCGAGGCGACGACGAGCCGAACGCCACCCGCCTCGAGCCGCCACCAGGCGGATGCCGACGGCAACTGGGCGCGAGGCGCGTCGGTGAACGCGCAGTTGGCCAGGCGCGCGTCGAAGATGACCCTCAGGAGACCGCTCTTCTTTGGCATGAGAAATACCCCCACGTTGCCCCGGCGCCCTCGTGCGGAGGACAGAGTCAGCATGTCGCGCCCCCTCACGGCGCCGAGGAAGGCGGCGTGGTCGGGCAGCGGGCGAAGCAGCGCAGGAACCGCGCGCGGGCCCTGCGGGCGCGCCTCCGCCCGCAACTGCCGCGCCGCCACGGGCTCGCGGAGGAGCACGCGGCACCTCCGCCCCCGCGGCGCGGCGGAGCCCCGCTCGCCCAGCGGCCCCAGAAGCGGCGCGCGCGGCTGCGACGCGCCCAGCCAGGAGTCGCGGTCTGGCACGCAGGGAGCGACGGGCCCGCCGCCATCAGGGCACATCGCGCGCCCGGCAAGGAGCTCCCGGATCGCCCCGTCGGGGCCGGAGACGTCGTCGCGATGCCCACGCGGCCCAGGGCCGAGAGCCACGATCGAGTCCCAGATGCGAGCGGCGGAGCAGCGCTGCCCGGCAGAAGGCGTCGGCGCGGGCGAGGACTGGTCGCCGTAGAAACGATTCACGGCATGCGCGTCAGCGCCGGCGCGGCCCAACGAGTGCGCGAGAGCGCGGCCGGCCCCGGCGCGCCGCCGAGTCCTTGGCGCGCCGGGCGCCGCATCGAAAGCGGGAAGAGGTCTCGACGTCGGTCCTCGCCCTGCATGTGACGCGGGGGGGCGGCCCGCGCTGTTGGCGGGCTCCGCGGTCGAGGCCGCAGGGGGCGGGCGGCCAGGCCATCCGCCCCGGGGCGTGTCAGGCATCGGCCCCGGCGGCGTTGGGCCCGCCGCCCGGCCGCCGCGACCGCCCCGCCGCCCCCTCCCCGCGCCCTGCGCCCGGTTGGCTGGGCACGCCGCCAGCGAGGGCGCGCTCCTCGCGCGCCTTCCGCCTGACCATCGCCACCGCCATCTCCAGCTGCACCTCCTGTGCGAGATGGTCGCGCAGGGCGGGACGCGCGCGCGCCGACCCTTCGAGCTCATCATGACAGCGCGATCCGCCGCGTCCGCCTCGCTAGGAGCGACCGGCTGGCGGCGGCGCTCCTCTTGCACCTGCGCCGAGCGAGCGACGACACATCTGGTGGATCTCCGCGCCTGAGGATTCGTGGCCCAGGCCTGTCTCTGCCAACCGCCGCTGATGATGCGCCGTCGGCGTGCCGGACCGCTGCGCTATTTACTGCAGCACCCACAATACAACGCGCGCGGGTCGCGCACCGGCCATTCTGGCCAAGGGAGCTCGACCATCTGGGCGACCATGCCGCGGAATTTGGCGCGCCGCACTCCTCGCGCGTCCCTCGCGACGGCGAAGATGCGGGCGTCGCCGTCGGGGCTGGTGAGGGGTGCCACTGCCGGCGGACCAGCGGGCGCGGGCCCTGCAGCTGGAGGCGCGGCGCCAGGGGCAGCGGCCTCTGCGGGCCCCGCCGGTGCTGCGGCCAGCAAGCCAGGCGCTACAGGCACGGCGAGATCACCTCCAGCGGCAGGAGCCGCAGGGCCACAAGCAGCCGCGGCGGTCGCGGGGCCTGGCGCCGGTGTGGGCGCGCCCCCGGCGGCCCCGCCAACAGGGCCCCCGAGCGCGGCCACGAACGCGCCAAAGCCGCCGCCCACAGGGCAGGGCGCGTCGCCAGGCGACACGGCGAAGCCAGCTGCCGCTGCCGCCGCGGGGGCGGCCGCTGCGTGCGCCAGCCCCGCGACGTTGGGCACTGCGGGGCCGGCGGGCGCCGCGAGGCCCAGGCGGGCGTTTCTCCCCCTGAGCCGGTTCCCTGTCGCCCCCCCGTGTCAGGGAAATGAGTCCTTAGGTTCGGAAGCCGGAGCTTCATCAAGCTACGTAAAGGCGGGAGCGAGAGCTACGACATGGACTACGCGCGCTACGAGCCGATGCCTGGAGCACAGTGGACGCAGGGCATCCTGCGGGTAGAGCTGTATGCGATGCTGCAGGCGCTGAAGGTACGCACCCCGCCCATGAGGATCGCCAGCGACTGCCAGAACGTGGTCGACGGCGTCACGGCGGGTCCCAGCTGGCTCGACAACTACAGCGAGCAGCACCTGGACCCCTGGGAGCCGAGTTTCGAGGTCATCGCCGAGCTAGGCGGCCTGAGCCCGCGCACCGTGCTGGTGTGCAAAGTAAGCGCCCACGCTTCGCGCGCCGAGAAAGAGAAACGATTGGCCGTGCGAGGTTGGGAAGGAAACAAGGTAGCTGGTAGATTCCCTAAGCAGGGGGGCCTTGTACCATACCCACCCCATCTGGCGTAAGGAGGCCTACGTGTATAATTTCAAGCTGTTTCGGGATTTCTTGGAATTCGGGGCCCATGTATGACTCCTAGGTAGAGATATCGTCGGCACTGGGCAGGGCTCGAATCCGACGGATTCGAAACCACCCGACCCCGCCCTGGACCTCCCGGACTCTCCTGGGGAACCTGAAGCGGCCGAAGGGGAGAAGGGGGAGGCCCTGGAGGCTTCCGATACCCCCTGGCCTCCACTCCCTAGTCGCGGGCCGTTCTGGACTGGGGACTGGGGGGGAGTCAGGGTCGACCGAGCGCGAGGATCGGGGCACAAACTGGTGTCCGCAACAATTTGTTTTCTGTCAGAAGTGTGCCAGGTACGCCCGTGACAGGCGGTCGGGCCTATTTTCCCATGTCGCCTTGGAGCCCAAAAGGTGATGTGGGTAGGCTAAACTGCCTGTGGGAAGGGTCACACCCCACCACCTAGCAGCCCCTTTTAGGGACCTCCTGGAAATTGGGCACGGCTCGGGGTCCGCCCGATGCGGCCTGAGCTCCATCGGCGCAAATCCGTGGAGCCTTCGCGAACCGATTCGATCCGCACGATCCGCACGATCCTCCTCCTCCTCCTCCTCCTCCTCCTCCTCCTCCTCCTCCGTTCTCCTCCTCCTCTCCTCATCCCCGTCGTCCTCGCCCTCGTCCTCCCACTTCTCCAACTACTCCTCGAACTCGTCCACTCCATCTCCTTACTCCTCCTCCCTCCTCCATCCCCCCTCGGAGGGAGGATGGAAGGAAGGAGGCTGAGGAGGAAGAGGACGAGGAGCCAGAAGGGAGGAGGACTGGGGAGGAGGAGGAGGAGGAGGAGGAGGAGGAGGAGGAGGAGGAGGAGGAGGAGTGGCCAGGAGGAAGGTTTAATGAGGAGCCTGGATGGAGGACGAGGGAGTTTCCCCTCCCTCCTCCCTGCTCCATCTCCTTCTTCCCCGCCCCTCTCTCCTCACTGGCGCCGCGCTGGGGGACAGCTGCCACAGAGGGAGGGGGGGTATAGGAGTAGGAGAAGGACGAGGAGAAGGAGAAAGAGGACGAGGAAGAGGAGGAGGAGGAGCAGAAGGAGGAGGAGGAGCAGGACCAATCGAGGGTCCACAGGTGGGGAAATGGAGAATGAGGAGGAAGGAAAATGAGGAGAAGGAGAGAACGAGAGAGAAAGAGAGAGAGAGAGAGAACATGGGGATGAAGGTGAGTCAGAGACACGAAGACACTGAAAGAGGAGGAGGAGGAGGAGGAGAAGAAGCTGGATGATGATGAAGATGAGGAGGAGGAGGAGGAGGGGGACGACGACGAGGACCTAGTCAGGAGGACGAGGAGAGAAGGGATGGGGGCGATGAGGACGAAGATGAGGAGCTGGAAGGAGAGGACTGCCAGAAGAACGGGGGCGACGACGACGGCGGCGAGGACGAAGGCTCCCCTGGCCTATCGAGGTGGACCACGTTGACCTCCGTGACCGCCCAGAGCGGCCCAAGATGGCCCCGCCGTGACACAAGGTCTACTCCAGTGGGCGACACATCGGTGATTTCCTAGGGAACGCGGCGACCCTACCCGATGGTGTGCGCATGCCAGTGACGCGGCACATAACGTAGAAACAACAACGACGACCTAACCTGATGGCCGCACGACCACGACAATGACCACAACCGACGACCGACGACCGACGACGAGGACGACGGCGACGACGACAACGACGACGACGACGACAACGAGCACGACGAACAGGCGTCGCGCCGACCCCCTCCTGCGCGCGGTGGATCTCCCGGCTGCCCCACCCCCCCGGGGGCGCATCCATGAGGCCCGCGAGGTCCGACATGGCTGGCCGGCTCGGCGCGGGCATGCGGGGGTGGCCAGGGCCGCGGGGAGCAGTTGGCGAGTCATGTCAGTCCAGCAAGAGGGATCGAGGCTCGAAGATCGAGGTTGCTGCCGCCCGACGTCGCCGTCGTCGTCGTCGTCGCCGCCGCCGCCGCCGACGTCGTGGTCGTCGTCGTCGTTGTCGTGGTCGTCGTCGTCGTCATCGTCACGGTCGTCGTCGTCATCGTCGTCGTAGTCGGCGGCATCGTCGTCGTCGTCGTCGTGACGGTCGTCGTCGAAATCGTCTTCGTCGTCGGCGGCGGCGTGGTCGTCGTCGTCGTCGACGTCGTCGACGGCGAAGTCGTCCTCGTCATCGTCATCGTGATCACCGTCACGGTCGTCGTCGTCGTCGTGCTCGTCGTACTCACCGTCGTCGTCATCGTCGTCGTCGTCGGCGGCGCCAGCGGCGTCGTCGTCGTCGTCACGGTCGTCGTCGTCGTCGTCTGCGGCGTCGTCGGCGTCGTCGTCGTCGCTGTCGTCGCCACCGTCGTCATCACCGTCACGATCGTCGTACTCATCGTCGTCGTCGTCACCGTCACGGTCGCCGTCGTCGTCGTCGTCGTCGTCGTTGTCGTAGTCGTCGCCGTCGTCGTCGTGACGCTCGTCGTCGTCATCGTCGTCGTAGCCGTCGTCGACGGCGGGGGCGTCGTCGTCTTTGTCGTCGTCGTCTCCGTCACGGTCGTCGTCGTCGTCGTCGTCGTTGCCGTCGACGGCGGCGTCGTCCTCGTCATCGTCATCGTGGTCACCGTCACGGTCGTCGTCGTCGTCGACGGCGTCGTCGTCACGGTCGTCGTCGTCATCGTCGTCGTCGTCGTCGGCGTCGTCGTCGTCACCACAACGATCGTCGTCGTCGTCGTCACAATCGACGTCGTCATCGTCGTCGTTCTCGGAGGCGACGGCGTCGTCATCATCGTCGTCGTCGTTACGGTCGTCGTCGTTTTCGTCGTCACGGTCGTCGTCGTTGTCGTCGTCGTCCTCACCGTCGTCGTCGTCGGCGGCGGCGCTGGCGGCGTCGTCGTCGTCGTTGTCGTCGTCACGGTCGTCGCCATCATCGTCGCAATCGTCGGCGGCGGCGTCGTCGTCGTCACCGTCACGTTCGTCGTCGTCGTCGTCGTCGTGCCTCGGGTGTTTGGGATTGCTCCCTTCAAAGAGGGAGGGGCGGACAGGGGAGGGGGAGAGGGAGGGAAGGGATCGGCACGATCGAACGGGGGAAGAAAGAATCGAGGCGACAACCGACAGGAGAGAGAGAGAGAGAGAGAGACAATTAGCGTGCTGGGAAGAAGGGGCTGGCAAGGTACAAGGCACGGCTGTGCAATCAGCACACCCAACATGTGCAGCAACACGGGTGATCTGATCATGTTTCCCAACCCCATCGTCGCAACCCGATGGTTGTCCTTCAACAACAATTACGCTAGCGATGAACCCCACATACTTATATTATGGCTGGAGTGATGATAGCCTCCTTCTCCTCCTCCCCCTCTTCCTTTTCCTCTCCCCCTCGCCATTGATATACTAACCAAGATGCCCCGATTTGGTATCGAGGTCTCCGATACGCTGCGGCAGCCATCAAACAACCGAACCGACTGGCTGCTCTGCAAGCCCGCTGGGCCGACATCATTCCCATACCGCCTCGGCGACCCAATGTTGCAGCGCGCAACGCGCCCATCGACAGCGCGCCACGCCAGCGTGCCACGCTGACGACCCCGAGGTGTCACCAAATCGTGCTGGGAGCTCGGCCTATGACGACCCAGAATGCTGAGACGCCAGGACGACGCGGCAGGGAAGAAAACCACAAGTCTGGATCATATACGAATTCTCGCCCGCGCACCCCCCGCCCCCAACCCGCGTGCAGCTCTCAAGGCTCTCAAGTTTCATGGTGCGGCGCCCCCACCCCCAGCGCACCCCCTGTGGTGTCGAGGAAGTACCACGCCTGCCACGCGTTGCGAGGCCGCAGCGGATAGGGAGACAACACCCGGCGCACCCCCTGTGGTGCCGAGGAAGTACCACGCCTGCCACGCGTTGCGGGGCCGCAACGGATAGGGAGACCACCCCCAGCGCAACCCCTGTGGTGCCGAGGAAGTGCAACGCCTGCCACGCTTTGCGAGGCCGCACTGGATAGGGAGACCACCCCCAGCGCACCCCCTGTGGTGTCGAGGAAGTGCCACGCCTGCCACGCTTTGCGAGGCCGCAACGGATAGGGAGACCACCCCCAGCGCACCCACTGTGTGGTCGAGAAAGTAAAGTCGACCACGCTGCCACGCTATTGACAAACCACACCTGCCGCACCGCCGAAAGGATAGGGAGGAACAACAAGCGACACCCCGTGCGTCGAGCGGAACTGCCACGCCGCCACGCTTTGCGACCCGGAGGGGCCGCAACGGATGGCCGCAACGGTAACCGCCGCAACGGCCGAAACCGGATGATATAGGGAGAAACACCCCCCGCGCCCCCCTGCCGGTTGCCGAGGAAGTGCCCACGCCTGCCACGCTATGCGAGCCCGCAACGGATAGGTAGACCATCCCCAGCGCACCCCATGTTGGTTGTCTATGTCGAAAAAAAGGTGCTGCAACGCCGCCACGCGTTGCGGAGGCTGCAGCGGATAGGGACACGATGACCACCCCCAGCGCACCCCCCTGTGGTGACGAGGAAGTGCAAGCCTCTGGCACGCGCTGCGCGACGACGCAGAGGATGGCGACGATGGCGAGACCACCCCCAGCGCACCCCCTGTGGTGTCGAGGAAGTGCCACGCCTGCCACGCTTTGCGAGGCCGCAACGGATAGGGAGACCACCCCCAGCGTACCCCCTGTGGTGTCGAGGAAGTGCCACGCCTGCCGCGCTTTGCGAGCCCGCAACGGATATGGAGACCACCCCCAGCGCACCCCCTGTGGTGTCAAGGAAATCCCACGCCTGCCACGCTTTGCGAGCCCGCAACGGATGGGGAAACCACCCCCAGCACACCCCCTGTGGTATGTCGAAGGAGGAAGTGCCAACGGGGGGGGGCTGCCACGCTTTGCGAACTGGGCCGCAGCGGATAGAGGGACCACCCCCAGCGCACCCACTTGTGGTGTCGAGAAAGTGCCGCGCCTGAGACAACCCACAGCGCACCCCCTGTGGTGTCGAGGAAGTGCCACGCCTGCCACGCGTTGCGAAGCCGCAACGGATAGGGAGACCACCCCTGGCGCACCCCCTGTGGTGCCGAGGAAGCGCCACGCCTGCCACGCTTTGCGGGGCCGCAACGGATATGGAGAACACCCTCAGTGCACCCCATGTGGTGCCGAGGATTAGGGAAGTGCACGCCTCGCCACGCTGTGCGATAGCACGCAACGGATAGTAGAACACCCCCAAGCACCCCCTGTGGGTCGAGGAAGTGCCACGCAGCCACGCTTTGAGACGGGCCGCAACCAACGGATAGGGCAGGGGACACCCACAGCGCAAATCTGTGGTGCCGAGGAAGTGCCACGCCTGCCACGCTTTGCTAGCCCGCAACGGATAGGGAGACCACCCCCAGCGCACCCCCTGTGGTGCCGAGGAAGTGCCACGCCTGCCACGCGTTGCGAGGCCGCAGCGGATAGGGAGACCACCCCCAGCGGACCCCCTGTGGTGTCGAGGAAGTGCCACGCCTGCCACGCTGTGCGAGGCCGCAACGGATAGGGAGACCACCCCCAGCGCACCCCCGAGGTGTCGAGGAAGTGCCATGCCTGCCACGCTCTGCGAGGCCGCAGCGGATAGGGAGACCACCCCCAGCGCACCCCCTGTGGTGCCGAGGAAGTGCCACGCCTGCCACGCTTTGCAAGCCCGCAACGGACAGGGAGACCACCCCCAGCGCACCCCCTGTGGTGTCGAGGAAGTGCCACGCGTGCCAAGCATTGCGAGCCGCAGTTGGATAGGGGAAACCACCCCCTGCGCACCCCCTGTGGGCCGAAGAAGTGCCACGCCTGCCACGCTTTGCGAGGCCGCAACGGATAAGGAGACCCCCCCCAGCGCACCCCCTGTGGTGTCGAGGAGGTGCCACGCCTGCCACGCTTTGCGAGCCCGCAACGGCTGGGGAGACCACCCCCAGCGCACCCCGTGTGGTGCCGAGGAAGTGCCACGCCTGCCACGCTTTGCAAGCCCGCAACGGACAGGGAAACCACCCCCAGCGCACCCCCTGTGGTGTCGAGGAAGTGCAACGCCTGCCACGCTGTGCGAGGCCGCAACGGATAGTGAGACCGCCCCCAGCGCACCCCCTGTGGTGTCGAGGAATTGCCACGCCTGCCACGCTTTGCGAGCCTGCAACGCATAGCGCCCGAACCCCCAGCGCACCCCTATGGTGTCCAGAAAGTGCTACGCCTGCTACGCTTTGCGACATTGTCGTGGATAGCGGCCGCACTGAGAGACCACCCCCTTCGCACCCCCTATGGTGTCCAGAAAAGGCCACGCCTGATATGCCTGGACGACTGGGGCGTGCTGTGCTGTGCTGGCCTGTGCTGCGGTCTGCTGTGCTGTGCTGTGCTGTGCTGTGCTGGCCTGTGCTGTGCTATGCTGTGTGTGCGGTGTGCTGTGTGTGCTTGTGTTTGTGTGTATGTGTGTAAGTGTGGACGTGTATGTGTGTGCTGTGATGTGCTGTGCTACGCTGTGCTCTATGCTGTGTGTGTGCTGTTGTGTTTGTGTGTATGTGTGTATGTGTGTATGTGTGTATGTGTGTATGCGTGTGCTTTGATGCGCTGTGCTCTGCTGTGCTGTGGGTGAGGGAGGAAGGAAGAGGAGGGGAGGAGGAGGAGGAGGTTAGTCGCCGGCGCGAGGCGGCAGAGAAAAAACAATTACGCTACCAAGAACCCCCACATACTTAATGTAAATTATCCCAGTGCGACCCTACCTAGGAGTGGGAGCCCCTAGGAAAGCAGCATTAGTAGTAATAGTAAAGCTAAGCTAAAGCTAAGCTAAAGCTAAGCTAGCACTAAGCTAAAGCTAAGCTATAGCTAAGCTAAAGCTA